CCTAACAAGGCTTGCTGCATGTCTAGTTCACAGCCTAACAAGGCTTGCCGCATGTCTAGTTCACAGCCTAACAAGGCTTGCTGCATGTCTAGTTCACAGCCTAACAAGGCTTGCCGCATGTCTACAGTGCATTTCAAAACTATAGACGCGTAGGGTTTTTGAAATATTTCAAATTTGGCTGGAACTTTTTGAGAAAAGTTTTCGGAATATTGCTCAGGATTGCTCCACAATTACTCTCATATAGTTTCTAAAGGATTGGATAACAGACGCCCAATTTGGAAAAATTTATGCACAAAGTAATCACAGATTTTATGTGGTATAGATGCTGGCATAACGGTTTTTGCCTAGGTACGCGTCTATAGTTTTGAAATGGACTGTAGTTCACAGCCTAACAAGGCTTGCTGCATGTCTAGTTCACAGCCTAACAAGGCTTGCCGCATGTCTAGCAGTGGCGTGTCCAGGATTTGACTGAGGGGGGGGGGGGGGGGGGTTGCGGCCAGGATGCGGTGGGGATAGATGACATCATGCTACTGTCCCGGGTCGGCCATTTTGAAAATGATGTCCAGACGCCTTGAATCTCACACACCACGAAAAACAAAATGTATTTAAATAATTTATTGTACATGTATTTCCAAAGCTTGCATCACACAATTAATAATGAAAGTACATAGAAGGGATATAGCAGTTGCCTCTGCACATGGTAAGTACACGCAGCTTTCCTTCAAAGTTTGGCGGGGCACGCCAACAGGAGAGAAGTTACAAATCGGGGCAGTTGCCTTCGGACTCCTCCTGGACAGGGTTCACCAACAGCATTCTCCGAGGATGAGCTGAAGCAAACCTGTTCAATACAGCATCCAGATCGAGAGGAATGCTCTTGTGGCAATGCAGAAGCACAAGGGCATTCAGTCGTGACTGCGTCATGGTGCTGCGGCGTTCCGTTTTGATAAACTTCAGGGTGGAGTTAGCACGTTCGACGCCAGCGGATGTCAAAGGAATGACAAGGACAAGCTGCAAGATGCACGAGACGTTTGGGTAGAGTATGGAATTGGTTTCCTTGACAGTACTGGGGAGAGAAGTTGGGTGTTGTCCTGCTGGGCGCATTTCCCACTTCTTCATCCACAGCTCCACTTCAGCTCTGAAACTGCTCCTGTCTGGGAGATCAGAAGCATAGGCTGCCTCTATGTTGGCAATGTGATCGGATGTCATGCGATCCAAGTTGGCAGGGAGAAGAAGGAGTGCCTGGATGGCCTTCTGGTTCAGGGAACTGAAACGACTGCCCATTTCAGAAATAACCGAATCCAGGAACGGCACGAAAACTGACCTGCGCCAGTACTCCTCTGCATCGGAGGCAGGCACATTGCTACGCTGTGTCTGGCGTGCTGAAGTGCGAGGAATGACTGGTTTCTCTCTCCCATGGACAGCTGTTAGACTGCAAATTTCACCATAGACCTTCTTGAATGATATGTCCGCCTCCCCGCGGTGACCTTGAAAGACAACGACGACTCCGGATATCTGGGAGTATGCTTCCAATATATCCAAATGTGAACCTTGGAGAAGAGCACTCAGACCTTTCAGGTATGCAGAGACGAAAACGTTACAGTGCAAGGAGACAATAAAGTCATCCGATGATATTGCTCGGAGCAGTCCGTTTGCCTCCGTGACTGACTTGCCATCGAACTTGGCCAGCTCACAAGGTTTCTCAATGCCAGCTTCAGCTTGCTGGTCATGCGTTGGTGCTGAGGATTGGCCACATATCACCTCCAGGCAGAACACAACAGCCTCATACACCTGCCTGAAATCCATGATGGCCGTGTGCTGCTCAACCCACCTGGTAGCAGACAGCAACTTCAGCTTCAGGGTTGGGATTGGTTCTTTTCCCTCTTGCGTACGGTGGTAGTTAAGCCAGGCAGTGGAGGTTTCAAGGCATCGCTGACGCTTCGGTGAGTATTTGAAGAAGATGCCCAGTGCCTGCAGGTCTGATAGCATGCACTGGACAGACTTCACAGCGCAAGCCTTGGTCAGCGCCAGGTTTAACTGATGGCTGGCACAATGGTAGTAATGGGCTTCAGGTATTACTTGACTGAACTTCGCCTGGCAGCCATTCAGATGTCCACTCATTGCTCCGGCACCGTCGTAGGCTTGAGCGCGGCAGAACTTTGGGTTGAGACCAATCCGCTTCAGCTCACCCATTATCGTGTCACAAATAGCTGCGCCAGTAGCAGACTTGCACTCAGCAAATGAAACCAGGCTTTCTGTGGCCTCTCCGTCACAAATGTACCGCACAGAAATACCAAGCTGCTCCCATCCACTGACATCCGTGACCTCATCGGCCTGAATACCGTAATAGTGAGAGTCGCGGACATTCTTGACAATGGACGCCGTTATCTCATCACCCATACATACAAGCAGTTGGTTCTGGGCCATGTTCGACAGGTAAGTTGCATTTTTTGCGCGAGTTTGCAAATGGTCGTGCAGCACTGTATCGCCGCTTGCCACAGCAAACCGAATCAACGCGTGGAAATTGCCTTCTGGATCACCATCTCCAGTCAGATCATCGCGGTGTCCGCGAAGGGCCAGGCCTTGTCTTCAAGCCAATTCCAGGCAGCGCAGAATAGACAAGAGAACTTGTCTGTTCTTCCGAACACGTTCTTGTGACCGTTCCGTAATTGTGGCGTCAATGCGTTGCTGTGGGTTCTCTGCTACGGAGATGAAGTGCGACAGCTTGGCAATCGAATCAGCATGGTACTCCAGCGACCATGGGCATCTAAGTCCTCTCCAAGTTTCTTGAAATTTCGGTGGACTTCGGTGATCAGGGTGTCTGCCCTTCTCGATCCACCTCGGTGAAGAGTGGGGAAGAGAACGCAGGGCAAGCAATACACGCCAGCCACTGATACGTCTCCTTCGCCGTCGTGATACGCCAGCCACTCGTGCTTCTCAAACAAAGACAGCTGGAGGAATCGCTTCGATGTGCCCGACTGCTTTCTCTTGTCAGCAAGTAGCGAGAACGGCAGCGAGCAACCGGGCACTGGTTTTCTGGACCGAATCAACTGCAATTTCTGCGAGTCCGACAATTTCTCACCACGCAAAGCATCCTTGACATAGGCAGCTGTGCTATGTTCTGGCTGCTCGCTGACAACCAGTGCTTCCACGTCTGGAGGAGTGTCAGTCTGCTCGGAAACTTCCGTAAGTTCAACTGGAGCAGGAATCGGCAGAGCGGCAGCGGCAGCAGGAGTTTCGTCGCTACCAGAACGCTTTGCAAAAAATCCATCCAGGCTCTGCTGGCTAGAGCCTGGCCTTTTGGGATGTCGCTGAGACATCGTCAAAAAGTCTTCGCGACAGAGTCAACCAAATCAGATTCGAAGTTGGAACGCCGAGGCGATAAATCAGAGCTCGAAAGATCGTTCAAGTTAGTTACTAAGTCTTAGTTCTGAAGCGCTTTCCTGTGACAAGTTCACTTTATACGCTTGCACAGCGCTGCACATCGCAGATCGCGTACTCTAGTATACGGGATTACCTATCGATGCGTATACTATCGCCGATAGTATACGCGTCGATAGGTAATCCCGTATACTTCGCGTATACTACGTACTACACACAGTCGAGAGTCTCGATCTCCCGGCCAGACCTGACGCGTCGAGCGCGTCCCAGCAGTGATGATCAGTTTAGTGTGAAATGAACAGTGACTGCAGCACAGTGACTGGCCGTGCATACTACTAGTCTGCCTGTACTGACTGTGTACAGTCAACCACTGAACCAGGCCGCTTGGACGCTCGTTTCCGGCCGCGAGCGCCCCCCAGACATGCACTGCACACGTCTGCAGGATGCGGGCTGCAGGTGAGTGCAGCATGCCTGGCGTTGTTTATTTTTCGAAACCTAGGTCGAAACTTTTGAGGGGGGGGGGGGGGGGGGCGCGCTCCCCCCCCCCCGCGCCCCCCCCCCCTAAACCCGCCACTGTCTAGTTCACAGCCTAACAAGGCTTGCCGCATGTCTAGTTCACAGCCTAACAAGGATTGCTGCATGTCTTGTTCACTGCCTAACAAGGCTTGCGGCATGTCTAGTCCACAGCCTAACAAGGCTTGCCGCATGTCTAGTTCACAGCCTAACAAGGCTTGCTGCATGTCTAGTTCACAGCCTAACAAGGCTTGCCGCATGTCTAGTTCACCAGCCTAACAAGGCTTGCTGCATGTCTAGTTCACAGCCTAACAAGGCTTGCCGCATGTCTAGTTCATCAGCTGGATTTCGCTCATCCATCAAATTATACCTAGTGTTCCCTGTAAAAAGGCACTGACGCCTGTTAGGATTTCCCTAGTAAAAAGAAAAAAGAAAAAAATAATAATAATAACAAATGCGGCCACAGTGACTGGGGACCGGGGGCATGCGCTCTGTACCATGTGTCGTCATGACATCTTGCTGGACGAACAATGAAACCAAGAGTACATAACCCCCCAGAGTGTGCAACGCCTGATCCAGCTCTGCATAGGGTCTTGGTCGAGCGGAATCGGATCTTTGCGTCATAATACCGTACAAATCTGAGGGGAACCCGGGGAGTCGCGGGTACTCTTGGATCAAAAACAATGGTGCCCTGCCTCAAGACCGGCCTTGCACTGGTGTGGAGTGTACGCATGTCATCAGAAGATTCGATTCAGCTCGACCAAGACCCTATGCAGAGCTGGATCGGCGTTGCACACTCTGGGGGGTTATGTACTCTTGATGAAACCTGTCTAAGACGACCGCTCAAGGGACCTTCAAAGTGTGGTATCTGTAACCAGGTGGTCTCCTTATCCAAGGTCATTTGACTGGAAATGGCGTCCCTTGGTCCTGGTTGCAGTGGTCTTCTTGGACAAGTGGTCGCCTTATCCGAGTGGTCACCTTGACAGGTTTTACTGTATGCATGTAGAGGAAGTATAGTAGAGTATGTGGCAACCTGGATGCAATCATGCCCATACATAACACACACACTGGGCAAATGTAGTACCCGTATCAAGAGTAGATAACACAAGAGTATGTAACTCCGTATCTCTTCTGCAGATACCGTGGCCCACGGTGGAATTTTTTGTCGACGACACCTTTCTACATGACGTATGTCATACAGAGCACACGCAAACTCCCACAGAGCAGTGTGAGAGCACGTGCTGAGCACTGACCTTCATCGCCAGTTTGTGATTTTGCGGTGTTTGTGCCGTTTTCGAGAACGAAAACTCTCCCGCCCCTGTACTTTTCCCATGCACCGGTTGTTGCCGAGGTCAAAACTACATGCACTTTCTTCCGGACAGGACTTGATGTTCAATCAACTCATCACAATCTTGGTTGTGATGAAGCCGAGACCCAAGGTCGGCAGAGCATCCCAGACCACGCCACCACTCCCCTTATTCATGGCTCACACATGACGGGTTTACGTGGCTCTAGTAAAAAAATTAATACTTGTAATAAAAAATCAAGACTGGATGCCGAGAGTCTGAACATTGTAGTTCGTGATCAACATTTCTAACATTTCGCTCGCGCTTTAACGTTCGCTTGTGGACAGCAAACTTTTTTGGTGGCTGACGAGTGCTTCTCTGCAGGTGTTTTTTTCTGCCATGTTTCCATCTGTGGATCACCAAGTGCCGCAACAATACTTTCTTCCTCAGAGAGATAAGATCAATCTGCTGCAAATAGTTGTCTGCCAGAGACTACGATGGTGCAAAATAGGAGTAGTAGGATCGACAAAAGGTTGAGTAATGCGAAGGACTACAGGGACAGGCCATACACGTAGTCCTTGTCCCTTTAAAGGGGAAGTTAAGGCAAAAATCAAAATTTCACCAGTTGTAGTCTTCGGGGTGCTGAGTCGAATGGTCTTGGTCCGAGAAAGCTGAGCCGCTCCCTTCCTACTTGAATCCCAATCGAACTCGCGTACTTCCACCGAAACTGGGTGACTGCGCCCTACTAGATTGGGATTTGTATGCAACATGTCATTAAAAGCGCCATTTCGTTCTTATAAAAGCACGGATGACCGCGATTGGCCCATATGTTGTAGTCTTTTGGACGCTGAGTTGACTGGTTTTGGTCCGAAAAGGCTGCGAAGCAGCGTTCCTCCTTTATTCCCAATCGAACATGCTTGAACAAGGGGTCACGTGCTCCTGCGTACACCAGTCACCTGGTCACGGTGCCTGCAGGGTACAACTTACTAGCCTGTTTGACCTTTTTTGGGTGCAGTCCTGTCACTCGAGTTGAACTCGAGTTGAACCTTGGTGTGAAAGTTGTCGCCTGCTGGCGTGGTGACCAGGTGATTTGGGCACCCAGGAGCACGTGACCGCTTGTTCAACCATGTTCGATTGGGAATAAAGGAGGAACGCTGCACCGCAGCCTTTTCGGACCAAAACCAGTCGACTCAGCGTCCAAAAGACTACAACATATGGGCCAATCGCGGTCATCCGTGCTTTTATAAGAACGAAATGGCGCTTTTAGTGACATTTTGCATACAAATCCCCATCTAGTAGGGCGCAGTCACCCAGTTTCGTGAAGTGCGCGAGTTCGATTGGGATTCAAGTAGGAAGGGAGCGGCTCAGCTTTCTCGGACCAAGACCATTCGACTCAGCACCCCGAAGACTACAACTGGTGAAATTTTGATTTTTGCCTTAACTTCCCCTTTAATCCTTCACTTGAGAATTTGAACAAGAAGGCAAAACGATGAGCTGATTCCAAAATGGGGCAAAAGCACGAAGTTTGAGTTCACATGTACATGTGCTTGGTGTATCGACTACAAAACTTCCGATTAGCCTCGGCTGTGAAAACTTGAGGCTGCGAATTCATCAGGTAAAATGGCAAGTTTAGCAAATGTTAAACCCCGCCAAGTGCACGCGGCAAAAGACTCGCAGCGCGTGGCTCGTACGGTATGACTCATGTCCAGAAAAGATGATGTCAACAAAAAAAACCGCCGTTGGCCAAACCATCCAGAGTTGCACACTCTTGTTTATCTATTCTTGCCGGCATGATGGTTGCATGCATTGTCACAAACAGAATGACGTACATATGACTGTAAGGAGATGCGTGCAACTAAGAATTCAGGACACCTGTAAATTGAGGGCATTTGGCCTCATTCACATGAGTGTGTGTAATTTTCAGGTTTTTACTGTATATTGTAAAACCGGAAATTTTTGGAGATATATTTTTGGTGACTTCGGATTACGTAACAGAGGGATTAAGATGAACGTTATTTCTGACCTGACGCGAAAGTTCAGCTCACGTTATTTGGCTTGCGTGTCGTAAACGAACACGAGTGACCTGCAGCTCACGTCGAAATTTGGAGTTTTACGCCAAATTTGACGTGAAATTGCGCGTCACGTCGGAAATAACGTGCATCTAAACCTCTCTATTATCGAAGAACGACCTGTACAAAGGACTTGTGACATCCTTTACGATGCACAACAAGGAGGCAGCATGCCTGTACGTTTGGTGAAGTTAAATAAAGATAGCATTGCAGCATAACACCCCTGGTCAAGAAAGAAGCTTTGTCTAAAATGTAAGCCAAACGCAAATTGCAACCTACTGTCCCGTGGTGCCTAAGTGACTGCAGAGGAGCACAAAGACAAGAAAAGGCAGAATACAAATTAAAAATATTAATTTTCAATTTTATTTCACCGTCCAATGGCAGAACTAGAAGCCATTGCAAAGGAGGGGGTGTTAGCCAGCCATGGCAAGAGAAGGAAAAAGAAGGAAAAAAGGAAAGAACATAATAATCGGAAGAAAAGAACGCATCAGCGGGGTGAAAATTATCACTACAGTCAACCTACCCTTATAACGATATTTGCGTCAGACCAAGAAATATTGTTATAAGGGTAATATTGTTTTTGGGGTAACTGGTTCATTTCATACACATACGTCATAATGCATGGATTTTGTTCATTTTTTACACTCTTCATAGCATAAAAACTGACGCACATGCACATTATGTACAGAGCAAGGTGCCCACTGGTGCCCCCCGTGGCATTTCGTCATTTCCCAGCAACTTATCTAGTGAAGCCTGCTCTACCTAGATAGTGGCCTCTACATATTCCCTCCTATTCCCTGCTAGATATTGTTATAAAATGGAAAATGTCAATTGGTCAGCCCATTTTATATCGTTATGGAGGTAATATTGTTATAGCAAAATTGTTATAGAGGTAAGGCATTGTATACAAAAGTCAATGGAGTGATTTGGTTTGGCAGAAAAATATCGTTAAAAGGGTAGTATCGTTATAGCAAGAGTACATACCCCCCAGAGTGTGCAACACCTGATCCAGCTCTGCATAGGGTCTTGGTCGAGCGTGATCGGATCTTTGCGTCATAATACTGTGCACATCTGAGGGGAACCCGGGTAGTCGCGGGTACTCTCGGATCAAAAACAATGGTGCCCTGCCTCGAGACCGGCCTTGTGCTGGTGTGGAGTGTACGCATGACATCAGAAGATCCGATTACGATCGACTAAGACCCTATGCAGAGCTGGATCAGGCGTTGCACACTCTGAGGGGTTATGTACTCTTGGTTAAAGAGGTTATCGTTATAATGGTAGGTCGACTGTAGGTTGCCCATGGTGAGTAGTGGCGAGACAAGCCAGCAAAAGAGGCGAGTGAGCTTTACAATTTGGCATGACATTTAACATAGTCTTTGAACTGTCTAACATTGGATATTGTCTTCATTTCCATGGGCAGCTTGAGCCAATACGAATATGCAGAAAAGATAGGGCATTATTTTGGTAAACATAGTTGACAAAGCTCTGGGAAGTACTATGCCATTGCGAGTGTCCCGTGCGAAAGTAAACCAGTTATACTTGCTGAGATGTTCAGGGACAATGTTCAGTTTCATACGATGGACCAGAACGCATGACTGTCTCTGCGACAGGATAGAGATGGGGCAGGTGGAGGCCAAACTATAATCAGTAGAGGGGAATAAAGTGGGTTTACGAAAAATAATTTTTAACACCCGTTTACGAAATGATTCGATTGATTCTGCAAACAAAATCCGCTCAATTTCTGCATAATTTCTGAGTGAACAAAATGTGTGCAAATTTCACACTTCTAAACACAAGTTGGTGTGACTGCCCAAAGGAACTTCTCCAGTCTTTTTGATGTGTTCTTGCAAGAACTTCAATTCTTCCCTTTCATCTTGGGCGAGAGAAAATATTTCACGATCCGCTGGAGACTCAGTTAAACTGACTTTTCAGCATTCGTAGGAATGCCAACACCATGCAAAGATCAAAGGCGCAGATGCAGCTCCTCAAGCGGTGGGAAAATGTGTAGATCAGCCCACCAGTAAAGTAGTCAAAGACTATCACATTCGCTGGTTCCCAATTAACTGTGGGTCGCAGCACTAATGGAAAAATCCTTCCGCTTCCCAGCAGGACTTGAACCTGGTACCCTCTGTTTCTCAATTATGGTTGTACACCATCCCATTATGCCAGTCTCCCCGGGAGAGAGAGAGAGTAAGAGAGAGTAAGAGAGAGTAAGAGAGAGAGGAGAGAGAGAGAGAGAGAGAGAGAGAGAGAGAGAGAGAGAGAGAGAGAGAGAGAGAGAGAGAGAGAGAGAGAGAGAGAGAGAGAGAGAGAGAGAGAGAGAGAGAGAAGAGCGAGAGAGAGAGAGAGAGAGAGAGAGAGAGAGAGAGAGAGAGAGAGAGAGAGAGAGAGAGAGAGAGAGAGAGAGAGAGAGAGAGAAGAGAGAGATAGAGAGAGAGAGAGAGAAAAAGAGAGAGAGAGAGAGAGAGAAAGAGAGAGAGAGAAAGAGAGAGAGAGAGAGAGAGAGAGAGAGAGAGAGAGAGAAAGAGAAAGGAGAGGAGAGGAGAGTGGAGGAGGAGAGAGAGAGAGAGAGATAGAGAGATAGATAGATAGAGAGAGAAAGAAAGAGAGAGAGAGAGGAGAGGAGAGGAGAGGAGTGTGGAGGAGAGAGAGAGATAGATAGATAGATAGATAGATAGAGAGAGAGAGAGGGAGAGAGAGAGAGAGAAACATGATATCAAATCCTTGGGTACCATCGATATAGACCAGTGAAATTTTTACATTAGAGACAACAAAAGCTGCTCCATTAAAACACAAGAAAGACAACACGTTATACAATCTACTGCCGTGGAAATGGAGATCCAGTCGAATGACCGGGTCAGCGCTCTCAGTGTGTACAGAACGTTGAATGTTGACCCGATGCGACCACGCCGACCAGCGCCCTGCAAAGCATACATGAATGTGTGAACTATGTGTACCGACCGTCCGTCCGTAGATCTCCACAGTCATACTCGCGGCTGCATGGCCAGCGCCCTTGGGCCGCTAGACATGCAACCAGATTTCCATGTCCACGACAGTGCAGCCATGTACTTAGTATATGCAATACAGTAGTGGTGCAGTGAACTGCTACTTCCGCAAACCATTATTCATTTGAGGACTGATTTAGTGAATCATCGGAACAAATAATTATCACCCTCCACTCAGGTGAATACTGACAAGCCCTATCCATACAGAAATCTCAATGTGGGCTAATGATAAACCTGTCTGAATCCATTTCAAATCCATTCACCCACCCAACATAAGACAGCTGCCCGCTCCCCATTAACCTCTGGATCACCGATCTGTACCATGATGATGAGATGTTCAATCATTCAATAGCACACCAGGCGTGGTTGGAGCAACACGGAACATCGTGCTAAGGGTACGTCCATACTCACGGGAAGACCCAGTTGGCGGGACAGGAACACACCGTATCACATGCACCCGCCGCCAGCCTCGGAAAAATCAAACTCGCGTCCACACCTGCCGTTTCCGCCAGCAAAGTCGGGCGTGAAATCGTTTGGGGCACTCAGTGCAGTGAAGATAGTGAAGACAGTGAAGTCAGCACTCAGTGCAGTGAAGACAGTGAAGTCAGTGAAGACAGTGAAGACAGTGAAGACAGTGAAGACAGTGAAGACAGTGAAGACAGTGAAGACAGTGAAGTCAGTGAAGACAGTGAAGACAGTGAAGACAGTGAAGACAGCACTCGTGCAGGGAACTAATGTAAAACGAGTCACAAAGTCGAACGAGTCACAAAGTCTAACGTTTTAACGATCACTATTTTTCAGGAATGGGTTTGCTCCCACACTGGAGCTCGCGCTATTCCGCCGACTTGACTTGTAGTAGTAGGTTTTTCATTTTGACCCGACGAGACCATACGACGCTTGCAGATCACAGCACGAACAGTTCACCAGCCACACTCCACGAAAGCAAGTAGTAGTACTCCTGACAAGTCTTGTTTCGTTCCATAGAGATAATAACGGGGAACTCATCAGAGGACAAGCAGTTGTTGAATGAAGGGGTTTAGCTGAATAATGCTATTTTATAGAAAAGATATTGGCGCACTGAGGTGTAAACACTCAACTAACTCACATATGTGACATATCAACACAAAAGGAATAGTGCAGAATGGAGGTGTTCTGAACCCTACCAGACACAACTATCACAAGTGCTAAATCATTCACAATGAGAAGGAGAGGCACACAGGAATAGGTCGCGCTAGTTTACACGTCACAAATGGTACTGAGGTAGTGACAAAGATAGGTGAAAAGTAGACGCCAAGTGAAAGCCGACAAATCATCACGAACGTCTAACGTCACATCTGAAGATTGCTAGCGGCACAAGACAAATACTTCACAAACCTCGATAATTGAAATTCAGCCAGCGGTATAGTGAACGGAAGGCTGCTGGGCGTGACATAGAACCGTGGGCTGCTGAGGCGACGTATCCATCCTGATCTTGACTGCAAGGTTGGCGTCTAACGCTAAAATCCGAGCAGCAGATCAAATCCTTCCTCTGGTGAATGGCAGATTTCCTGGTCCAGGAGAAGTCATAATTCTTTGTGCCATCTTCAATAGGTCCGTCAAATACAGTAGTAGTAGGTTTTTCATTTTGACCCGACGAGACCATACGACGCTTGCAGATCACAGCACGAACAGTTCACCAGCCACACTCCACGAAAGCAAGTAGTAGTAAAAAATAAATAAATAAAATAGCATTATTCAGCTAAACCCCTTCATTCAACAACTGCTTGTCCTCTGATGAGTTCCCCGTTATTATCTCTATGGAACGAGACAAGACTTGTCAGGAGTACTACTACTTGCTTTCGTGGAGTGTGGCTGGTGAACTGTTCGTGCTGTGATCTGCAAGCGTCGTACGGTCTCGTCGGGTCAAAATGAAAAACCTACTACTACTGTATTTGACGGACCTATTGAAGATGGCACAAAGAATGATGACTTCTCCTGGACCAGGAAATCTGCCATTCACCAGAGGAAGGATTTGATCTGCTGCTCGGATTTTAGCGTTAGACGCCAACCTTGCAGTCAAGATCAGGATCGATACGTCGCCTCAGCAGCCCACGGTTCTATGTCACACCCAGCAGCCTTCCGTTCACTATACCGCTGGCTGAATTTCAATTATCGAGGTTTGTGAAGTATTTGTCTTGTGCCGCTAGCAATCTTCAGATGTGACGTTAGACGTTCGTGATGATTTGTCGGCTTTCACTTGGCGTCTACTTTTCACCTATCTTTGTCACTACCTCAGTACCATTTGTGACGTGTAAACTAGCGCGACCTATTCCTGTGTGCCTCTCCTTCTCATTGTGAATGATTTAGCACTTGTGATAGTTGTGTCTGGTAGGGTTCAGAACACCTCCATTCTGCACTATTCCTTTTGTGTTGATATGTCACATATGTGAGTTAGTTGAGTGTTTACACCTCAGTGCGCCAATATCTTTTCTATAAAATAGCATTATTCAGCTAAACCCCTTCATTCAACAACTGCTTGTCCTCTGATGAGTTCCCCGTTATTATCTCTATGGAACGAAACAAGACTTGTCAGGAGTACTACTACTTGCTTTCGTGGAGTGTGGCTGGTGAACTGTTCGTGCTGTGATCTGCAAGCGTCGTATGGTCTCGTCGGGTCAAAATGAAGAACCTACTACCACTGTATTTGACGGACCTATTGAAGATGGCACAAAGAATTACGACTTGACTTGCCACGTGACTGACTCACGACTGCCATCCAGAGCACACGAGAAGTCAACCGAAACTTCGACTCGGCAAACCTATATTTTTTCGTTATTTGACGAAACGCTATCGCGAGATGTTTGTGTAAAGTTGCGCATACAGATGGGTGGCCAGGTAGCCATCATTAATCTTTCTGCACGTTATCATGGCAAAATTAGAAAAACGTTAAAAAAGAACGTTTTGGTTGTTAAACTTTCCGGTTTTACAGTAATACAAAAATACTGTCACATGTACAACTGAAATCGGCACATAAACAAAATTTAATAATACGTCTACAGTATTTTTCCGGTTATAAGTCGACCTTTTATGACTGAAAATAGCAGAAGAAAAGGTGGGGGTCGACTTACAACCGGGATTCGACTTATACCCGGGAATTATTGGTATCTTCCAAAAATAACCTTCACTGAATACACGAGTGCACCATGTGTATGCATTTTTGCCAAGTTTATTTGCCTTTTTCAAGGATTGGGATGTTTCAGAATCCAATGAGGAGTGTTCATGTGATTTGTTCATGTGTTAGTAGCAGGGTGCAGTTAGCAGTGCTTCGTTGGGCAAAAACTTAAAAAACATAATTAAGACCTCCAGATACGGGGGGGGTCGACCTATAACCGGGGTCGACTTATAACCGGTAAAATACGGTAGTGCTAATGCTAGCTAGCTATTCCGTGGATCAAATAAATTGTGTCATTGGCACTGGTGAGAAAGTCAAGTTCTGAAAATGTGTTTGTTCCGAACGTTCCCACGTTCACTTCCTAGTCGATACGTTACATCTTCCGATAGCAGCATTGTCTGCTCCGACAGTCTGCTCGACGCAAACAAACGTCTGCTGGAGCTTAGCGTTGCTTGGACTATCGTGCTGGAGCACAGAGGGCATCATCCGCAAGTTTGCAATCCTCACACGCACAGAAAGAAGCCATGTGATAACAGGACTCCGCCGCGCCTTTTTTTCCGTATCGAGAATGAAGCACTGAGGCAAGCGCTGAGGCATATTGTGAGCGTTGCTGAGAAAGCAAAACTCCCCACACGCAACTGACAAACAAAAGGAAAGTACTGTAGTTCACTGCCGTTGCTTCCAAAAATATATTTCGAAGTACAATCGATCACTACCCACGCACGCCACCGTAGTTCTACACTACGGCTACGACTAGACAGTACCGCTCTGGCGTGAAGCTTCCCAGCCCAAAATTTGAGCTGGGAAGATTCTCACGCCATCGCGTCCGCGGGAAGCTGGTGGGTGGATCACATGACCTAGTTCCGGATTCACGCTACCATGACAACCATCCCATTCCGCCAGCCCTTCCTGTGAGTGTGGACGTACCCTAGGGAGATCTGAGCGGTGTGGCGTGTCAAAGGCTTTAAAAACATACAGTAAAGTCTTGTAGAAAAGCCACACTTGAATAGAAGCCACCCTCGAATAGAAGCCGCAATTTTGGGCCCATCAATTCACACATGAGCCTGGTTTTAGTGTTGACATACATAGAAATACCTGTCTTGTATAGAAGCCTGTCTCATATAGAAGCCTGCAAAATTTCACCAAAAAGTCGTAAAAGCCACGGCTTTTATACACGACTTTACGGTATGCATAATCTGTACAGAGACCATCACTCGGTCTTAGCAATCCTGCTAAGAACCGTAGAGTGAAAGACAAACATTTTTTAGAATGAGAGCCAATCATTACTTACAAGAACATCCCGTTTTGAGACGGGGAAAAAAAGTCTGCAGGTAAAGTTACAAGATTGTTTTTTCCCAGTTGTCTGCAAAATAACGGGAAAGATAAATGTTAGAACTTAGAATCTAAGCTGAGTCCCTTTCCCGATCACACCTTTCTGAGCAATGGATTGTACAATTGAAGACCAAGCCATTCCTGTCAAACTGAACAACACCTGTGTTGACTTGCTCGACGTCAATCATACCGTATGCCCGCATCTCTACAAGCCATGGAGGTATATTCGATTATAAAGCCAGTCTAGTTTCAGTTATAAAGCCATTGGCTTCGTAAATAAAATGACATTTGAAGTATGTTTTGTAAAAATGAAGGAATAAGCACTATTGCTAACAAACTTACAGCCCAGCAGGAAGGGTAAACAAGTGGATTTAGACTGAAATTTCTGTGTGGACTTTGACTTTTATGGCATGGCGTAGTAAGTGAGTCATTTTGCAGCTAAAATAGCTAGGAAAGCAACGGTGTTTCGAATATAAGGCCATGGCTTTAAAGGCACTGACATCCGGTAATAGCTTCTAAGTTGTGACAAACACGCAACATCTTTATACGGCAGACATACGTTAGATTGAAGGACCCTATTATTAGAGAGAATTAAGTTGAAGACACCAATGCAGCTGTACTTATGATTGATTAAAAAGGTGGTAAAGCAACATCCACAAAATGTGTGTCATCTGCATGAATAAAGTATACACAAATGTCAATTGGGCTTGTCTTGTTGATTGCGGTTATCAAATTTTCGTCTCTTCGTCGTTTGTCTAAATAATAATAATAACAATAATTGAACTTGGATAATGAGCCAGTATTAAATGTAAACAGTTTCCTCTGAGGCAAGAATGCGATAATACTCATGAAAAGCACTTCAGGCTCTTTACGAACATCTTGAAAGTTTTTTGGTTTCACAAGTATACTTTCCAGCCTTCTCATCAGGTGAAATACAGGCAAGGGAAAAGGAACAGTGGATTAATTACAGTAAGGAGGTGGTAAAACAGCGCAAAGAAGCTATCTTAGCTATCTTCTTTGCGAAAGCGAAAGGCTCGAACCTGGCGGCGAACCCGGCGGCGACGGGGTTCGAGCCTTTCAACAATGCCCAGATCGTGGGTCGTGAGACATCACTCCCAAGCCGAAAGACAATGGAGGCGATTGAAATCAGGGACAGAAAGCCCGAAATCAATGAGGACGAATGATGGTCTTTAACGGAATAGGACACTTCTGTGTGTGTGTGTGTGTGTGTGTGTGTGTGTGTGTGTGCGTGCATGCGTGCGTGCGTATGCGTTTGTTTTTGAGTTTGTGCATGTGCGGTTGTTTCACTTCCACGTTACACGTTACACGTTTCACTCTTATGGTGCGCTCTGGCTTACGTTACCTTGCACCCCTTAAAGGGGAAGTTAAGGCAAAAATTAAAATTTCACCAGTTGTAGTCTTCGGGGTGCTGAGTCGAATGGTCTTGGTCCGAGAAAGCTGAGACACTCCCTTCCTACTTGAATCCCAATCGAACCCGCGCACATCCACCGAAACTGGGTGACTGCGCCCTACTAGATGGGGATTTGTATGCAAAATGTCACTAAACGCGCCATTTCGTTCTTATAAAAGCACGGATGACCGCGATTGGCCCATATGTTGTAGTCCTTTGGACGCTGAGTCGACTGGTTTCGGTCCGAAAAGGCTGCGATGCAGCGTTCGCCCCTAATTCCCAATCGAACATGGTTGAACAAGCGGTCACGTGCTCCTGCGTACACCAGTCACCTGGTCACCGTGCCTGCAGGGTACAACTTACAGCCTGTTTTGACCTTTTTTTGGGTGCAGTCCTGTCACTCGAGTTGAACCTTGGTGTGAAAGTTGTCGCCTGCTGGCGTGGTGACCAGGTGATTTTGGCACCCAGGAGCACGTGACCGCTTCTTCAACCATGTTCGATTGGGAATAAAGGAGGAACGCTGCATCGCAGCCTTTTCGGACCAAAACCAGTCGACTCAGCGTCCAAAAGACTACAACATATGGGCCAATCGCGGTCATCCGTGCTTTTATAAGAACGAAATGGCGCTTTTAGTGACATTTTGCATACAAATCCCCATCTCGTAGGGCGCAGTCACCCAGTTTCGGTGGAAGTGCGCGAGTTCGATTGGGATTCAAGTAGGAAGGGAGCGGCTCAGCTTCCTCGGACCACGACCATTCGACTCAGCGCCCCGAAGACTACAACTGGTGAAATTTTAATTTTTGCCTTAACTTCCCCTTTAACACACTTCTCTCACATTTCTCTCACACTTCTCTCACGCTTCTCTCTCACTTTGTGTGATTATCACCAGGTAACCAGTGTGCCCCTCTTGTTGTCCTCGCCATTCATTTATTATAGAGCTAATGTATGACGCCTCGTGCTCTCCTCTCCTCACTTCTGTAGTGCTAATGTCTCAATGCTCCACTATTATAGTTTGCTACAGAGCCAGTTTCATTTCATTATTATTTTACTCCCTGATGAAGCCCCAAGGGCGAAAATTTGGAGATTTCATTTCTTTTGAATAAAATTTGGAGCGTCAACGACCTTCGACTTTGTATAGTGGTGGTGACTGATCATAATACAATTTGGAGTACATCTTGTTTATTGGTGTATACACCCGTTTTGAATCGGAATATTAGACTTTTTCTTGGCTAAGGTCCTTCAGTAGATGTGTTTCAACAAATTTCTAACCAAAAAGGAATTTTGAGAATTTTGACCCTAAGGGCTGTTTTCGCTGGGTGAGGCCCATGTCAGGAAAAAATTGGAGGTGTATCCAATTTCGTAAGAAAAGGTGTCAGCACCGACGCAATCCACACAGTCAAGTAAGCCAATTTTGTAACCGAGCGTTTTCGTTCCCTTCTCATCATAGGTGAGTACGGGGAATAATGGAAAAAAATGTCAAAATACAGTCGAATGTCACTTATCCGACCACTTCGGGAAACAGGCATGTTGTATAACTGAATATGTTGGATAACTGATATCATTAATGATTTTATGTGCATATATGGCTGGATTTCACTGATTTATGTACACAATACCCAAATTATATTCATGCATATTCATGAATTGCTCCATGTACACATACATGTTAGCATACTTGACCACATCTACTTCAAGTAAATGCATATTACACCGTATAATATACAAAAAAAAATTTTTTAAAGAATTTTAGGCCGATTCCACATTACGCCGAAAGTGGCTTTGCCTTGAAGGCATAAAGTGGCATATAAAGTGAAGCTGCATTCCCACATACAAGTGTCGATCACGGGACTTTGCATTGAAGGTTAGACTGTGAGGCTTCCCTGTGCTTGATCTAGATGACATGTACATGTAAGAGCCTCTCCACCACCGCCGTTACTACATTGTAGCCGCCGTTGCTACATTGTAGCAACGGCGGTGGTGGAGAGGCTCTTTGTTGGTCCAAATCCTCGAATATCACCCATTTCGCGTGCCAAATCTTGAAATTTGACCACGCTGTGTAGGCGCTAGGCGGATTCCAGATCATAGGTCGAATATTCTTCAACCTCGCCAACAGGCATTCCGGTGGCAGTTTTCTTTGTGTATGTCTCGTACAGTCATTTCGCCTTCGTTTTCATGTTGTCGATTTTGGAATGGACGATCGACGCAGTATAGATTGCCTCCTCCCGGAGCTGTTCAGCAAACAAATTCAGCTTGATGGCGATCTCCTCCGCGTAACTCCTGCGAACTGTACCGCCCGGAGGTCGCCTCAAATGTCCCTTCCAAAGCTCGATCAGCTTGCCCTCAAGCTCCTGGCTAAACATGACCCTAGGCATTGTTGACAGCTCACAAGTGAAAGATACGACAGGAAACAAATTCGGAAAAAATCGAAAGGCTGAAGAAAAGTCAGAGAAATGTCCTGAAAAGGTAAAAAGTTGCCTTGAAAGAGGGTGCTGGTGTTGCTTTGTAGACAACAAGCACTTTTCACTTTCGTGCGTTTCTCAAAGTGATCTCCATGGCAACTTGCCTGAAAAGTGCCTGAAAAATGGCATTTTAGACAGGATTTGGTGTAGTGTGGAATCGGCCTTACTGTTGAGAGTCATAAAATTACCACTCCCGGGCTTGTCGGATAACCGACGTGCTCGGATAACTGGCGACCGGATAAGTGACATTCGACTGTACGGCAAATTAAAGAGCTTCAGCAAAAGCATAGATCGAGAACCTCACGCTATACGTGTGGGAAAAAATAAAATTCAGCAGAGCTTGTCAAAAACAGGGTGAAGGTGAAGAAATGACGAAAACATAATGAAAACATCAGTGAGGAAAAGCATTCCTGACACTTTCACGAGGATTAGCGCCAAAGGAGGTGACGAAAAAGAGGCGACATTCTAACAATCAGCAATCAGCTATCAAGAGTCATCTGTCGGTTAGTGATAGTTGTCGTGAGTTGTATAAAGATGATTTTTTCTCAGTTTTGGCCCGTGGCAGATCTGTATTACATTTGTCTGTTTTGGAAGCGTTATATATTTGTAAGTTGTCCCCTGAACTAACTGTTATGTTTATTAAGGCGATAAAATAAATAAAATAAAAAAAGTATAAGCGAAGCAGACATTACAAAATAATGAATGAGAATACATGTATGTTAAAATTGATGCTCCTAATCGATTTTCTTGAGACTATCATCAGGGACAAATCGTCTCACAATAGAAGCTATGCGGAGAAACAAACTACTCGAAGTACTTATACGTATACGTGTATAGGATAGTGGGAAGTATACAAGGTGAGGTGTGAAAAAAAAACTAAAGTGGGAGAGAAGACGAAAGAAAGAAGAAGAAAAGATGTGAGAGTGTTCCAACGATGTGAGCTACTGCAAAAGGTGAGTGAAATGAAGGTGTGGAAGCAGGTGAATGTGATAGAGTGAGGAAGTGTGAGGTGTAGGTGTATGCGAATGAATACGTGTGTGAATGCTAGGTGAAGAGTCTCAGTTTTGTGACATTTTCTTTCTGAATGCATAGATTAGGATTGTGTTTACGGCCGAAAACAGCTTCTAATACCTTAAGTTCACGAAAACTACGAGCACGGCACAAAACAGTGAAGCATGAATCGTCATACACTGAGCGGCATTGGCTACTAGACAAGAGGTGTTTCTTACTTGCTGACCCTTTTGTTGTGCTCTCACCTTCAGTCCGGTCATCTTCATCTAGCTTGTCCAACTCACTTTCTTCATCACTGCTCATATCTTCATCACTGCTCACATCTTCCTCATCCTCTTCTTCTTCTTCCATATCGTCCTCTGCACACGACGACAATCCTACGCTACTGCTCGCTGCAAGTTCATGTCCGGTTGTAGATGCCATTATCACCGCACGAGTCATGCTTCTTGTTACTGGTCTCCGTACCTGTGCCTGGCCATTTCCTGCAGTCACACGTACCTGTGTACTTGTAGTAGGTTCAACCGGTACTGGAATAGTGCGGTTCTGAGATAGTTGTGCAACAGGCAACTGTTTGCGGGGACGGCCTCGTCCAGGTCGCTGGGCTCTGGCTGCATCTGACAATAGGTACAATGGTACATGTTGTTTGACGCGTGGGTTCAGGTGCTGAAGGGTTCTTCCTACATATCGGCTATCACAATGCCGACATTCAAAATAATAGATTGCATGGCTAATTAGTTGGGTAGGAAGAACATCCTTCTTCACCGTGAACGCACAGGCCGAAGTAAAGACTGTTGTCAATGCTGTGGCAAAATAAGTTTGTCTGACCACAGTCCTCATGGCGCGGGCCACATCCAGCGAAATTTGACTTTTCCATGGAAGTCGTAAAAACACACGACATGGGTCAGGTCCAAAGTCCGGCTCGGCAGCCTGAACATCAGGTTCGCTAAACAGCTTACTGAGGAGCTGAACAGGATATCCATTCTGAACGAATATCTTTTTCAGGAAACAAAGCTCTTGCTGAAGCGTATCAGGCGAGCAAATCTGCCTAGCGAGCATGATCAAATTTCGTATGAGATTAGTTTTGTATAAAGTCGAACAATAGGAATCTTCGACAATGTATTGCCCAGTGAACGTTGGTTTTCGATATACTGAAGTTGAAACACCCATCTCCGTTTTCTCGACTAGCACATCGAGAAAAGACAAACGGTTTGACTGCTCATGTTCACATGTAAATTTCAAAGCGGGATGTAGGTTGTTGAGCATACCAAGAAACTCATTACATTGTTCCAGATTACGGAAATGCGTGCACGAATCATCCACGAATCTAACATAATTATAAGCTAGGCCACATCGCACTTGGTATCTTCGATTCATAAAACCAGACAAACACATTGGCAAGAACTGGACCTAATGGTGAACCCATGGCCACACCGTCAATTTGACGGTACATGGTGTCATCAAAAGAAAATTCAACATCCGTTGTCACCATCTGCATTAGTCTGCGGTACGCAGTTTCGGACATCCAGGGAGAATCTAGCATTCACACACGTATTCATTCGCATACACCTACACCTCACAGTTCCTCACTCTATCACATTCACCTGCTTCCACACCTTCATTTCACTCACCTTTTGCAGTAGCTCACATCGTTGGAACACTCTCACATCTTTTCTTCTTCTTTCTTTCGTCTTCTCTCCCACTTTAGTTTTTTTCACACCTCACCTTGTATACTTCCCACTATCCTATACACGTATACGTATAAGTACTTCGAGTAGTTTGTTTCTCCGCATAGCTTATATTGTGAGACGATTTTTCCCTGATGATAGTCTCAAGAAAATCGATTAGGAACATCAATTTCAACATACATGTATTCCCATTGATTATTTCGTAATGTCCGTTTCGCTTATACTATTTATCGCCGTAATAAAGTTATTGTCTCCTCGTCGCCTATTCATTAACTGTTATGTGTTCAGAAGGAAAATATTTTGTCACTTCAGTTGTTTGGCGCTAATCCTGGTGAAAGTGTCAGGAATGCTTCTCCTCGCTGATGTTTTCATTATGTTTTAGTCATTTCTTCACCTTCACCCTGTTGTTTTTGACAATTAAGTTCTGCTGGATTTTTTCCCCGCACGTATAGCGTGAGGTTCTCCATCTACATGTGAGCCCGAGCGCGCTAAAACATGACCACAGCTTTTTTTGAAAAAGTCGAGATAATCGCGATTTGAATTCCGCGGCAAAAAATACGAAGTGCAGTGCAACGCGAGTTGCTGTTGTTGTTCTCCTCGGTCGACTGGACTGTTCCGGATGCAATTTTCTGTTGCAAGTAAGTTTATTTGTTAGAGTTTGTATTCCACGTTGCGCTGAGTCGCCTAAAACTGATCGTCCTCAATGTATCGACAGAAGAGCGTAGTAGTAGTAATGTACTGCGGAGCGGAAGAAGACGACATCATCGCACTCCATGCGCAGGATAAAATATTTTGGGGATTCGAGTCGGAAACAGAAGGAAGACGATGATGGATACAGCGACGAGTCATTTGAGGGCGACACTTTCATCGAGCGTAAAAAGAATTGATGCTGGTAGTCCCACGATCTGCTGTGACGAGGAATTCTACTCTGATGACAACCTGGCAAGCGATTGGCATCGACACTGACTTGGGAGGTGAGTCGGCCGATGATTTGGCCAGAATGGACATCGCTGCACATATCCGGGACAATGCCAGTATTGGTTGCAAGTGCAAAAACAATCACTGGACTCTGCTGCTCCCTCAACTTGCTCAAGTCGATAATTTAAGTACCCTTATGCGGAACATCGCTAGCATGAGCAGTATGCAGCGAAAGCAGTACTCTCTGGCGAGCGGAGAAAACCGTGTGCAGATGGGCTTTAGTGTGGGGAATATGAGTGCGACGTCTAGTATGTTGACGAACAATGTGTGCAGCAGTGTATACTGTATATCTGAAAGTACAGGTGGAGTGTGATGGAGAGGACATGGAGTGCCAACTTCTTCGGCCATCTCACAGATGTTGACCGTGTTTTCGCTGGCGGTTCTCCAGTGGTGCTCCAAACAGGAGGTATTTCGGACACCCAGCTCAGCTGCCTATAGACAATTTGGATGTGGCTGAGTACCTGTCAGCTCATGCTATAAGACCCTGGACAGAGGAACTGACCCGGAAAGGATGAACCAAGGGGCATATCAATTGTGTGCAAAAATGACAATCCCATTGCTGTACATAGAATTTCACCATTTCAACAGTGCTGCATATAATACCATTGTAGCAACACTTAGACATTTCGGATCAATCCAAAACTTTCAGACAGTGAACATTAGGTGTGTTGGATCATTTTTTAGCAAAAAACTGAAAATCGAATTTCTGGTCTGTGGTCATATTTTGGCGTGCTCTGGCTCATGTATGGTTTTCTAGTAGCTCTGGAAGTTGCTGTATTTTTGATATTTTCCACTATTCCCTGTATTTACCCATGATGAGAAGGGAACCCTTTTGAAGTGGCATTTAGTTTCTCCGGTTGGGCGGGGAAGGGGGGGGGGGGCAAACGGGCCTCCTATTATTTCTGTATGTTGTGACGCCTGATGCCAGGCAGTCGTGTGAGCCCTCGGCGGGCAATTGGCTGGCCTTGGTGGCCGTTTGTGTGCCCTCGGCAGGCAAGATGATATCGGCCCACAGTGGGCAGTTTGCTGGCCTCGGTGGCAATTTGCGCACCCTCGGTGGGTAGTATGCTAGTTTAGCCCCCGGCGGGCAGCTGCGGGCCGCGGTGGCCATTTGTGCGCCCTTGGCGGGCGAATGCTAGTTTCAGGCATGCGTCTTTACTCAATCAATTTTTATCAAAGAGCTTATTGGACTCAGATAGAGAGCCAAGGTTTAATTTGTACAAAGAGAAAGACCAAGGAACTACAAGGTGTAGAACGTCAGTACCGTCGGTCAGTGTCGTGCAAGGTTATCACATGAGCTGATTGTTTAGTAACTGGTGGTGTTAGTGGACAGTATAGCGTAACTTGTAGTTCCTTGGTCGTTCTCTTTGTATAAAGAGCATATTCTTGAATATTTGAATTGTTCAAAAGAAATCATGGCAACCCCCAACCCAATGTGTCTATTGTATGCTTGTGCACGCCATAGTGAGCGGTACGTTGTGCGGGTGTCTGCGTGTCAGAGTATGGGTACACCAGTGGCGTGTGCGTGCACGTGTGCGCTTGTGTCTGTCTGTGTGGGTGCACGAGTGCCCAAGGTGGGCGTGCGGGTGCACTTGGAGGTGCTTGCATGTTGACGGGTGCAGGGGCTAACTTTATTTATTTTTTACATGAAGGAAACAAGTGAGGTGGGGGGGGGGGGAGGACTGCTTATTTTTTTATTCTTTTATTTTTACAACTGCCAGGGAATTGTCCCGGGGCGACAAGGGTGCCTGGATCGAATCCTGCCCGAGAATGCCTGGATCGAATCCTGCCCGAGAATGCCTGGATCGAATCCTGCCCAAGAATGCCTGGATCGAATCCTGCCCAAGAATGCCTGGATCGAATCCTGCCCGAGAATGCCTGGATCGAATCCTGCCCGGGAACCTTTCTTTGAAACACTTACACAGACATGAGTTTAGAATTGTTGCGCAACAAGCCGGCAGGTAGTGATCCGATGCGGTTATTGCGCAACCTCCTGTATTAGAGGAAATAAAACCAGACGGTTACCCCACGCATCCATGCACGCACATACACAACACGCAACGGGGAACACAGAGGAGGATTGGAAAACTCCCATATAAATGAAAACAATTTGTTTTACATACCGGGTAAATATTCACAAAAATAGTTTTAAAATATTCACTGCTATGACTTAAGTATGAGTAGACGCATGTGCTCAAAGTACGACCAATTTTACAGTATGTGTTTGCCGAGCTGAAACTCACACTCTGAATGATCACTTGCCAGAATCCTGCTCGTGGATGGAAGGCATCTTATCCAAGTTTGTTTTGAGGCCAGGCTCGAATGAAGCAGGCCATCTTTCGATCCAATCTGTTTCTCTGGAATTCGCTGATTTTTCATATCAAATTTTGGTGTCGCAAAGGGTGCTCTAAATCTGTACAGCTCAGAGGTGACTCGAAATACACACATATTTCTGCTAATTGCTAACTTGCTATCCCTTGGTTACGACGAAAGTACCGAGGCGATATGCTTGGAATGTGCCTCCACCAGTATTCCTTGCAAAAACATAGTTTGTTGCCGAAAGTCAAGCTGTTTTTAGTCGGCTCAGAGAAGAAGCAGCTGTGCTGTGAAAATCGTGGGAAAACAGTGGTAGAGATGCTAGGAGTGTCAACCGTTCTGCAAGGATTAGTGAGTCTCTGTAAATTCTTCTCCTGTGGCCATTCTCAGCTCTTAGCTGGCTCTTGATGATCGAGTGAAGGTCTGTTTGACGCTGTGTCTGCTCGAAATCGGTCGTGATGTAGCCCAATGTGTATCGCGTATGGACAATCGAAACCCCACTCGCGTGGTATGGGAGCTCTGCTTATCGTAGACCCCTGAAAATTGGTAAGCCAGGACAACATACCACAGTGTCCCCTCGATAAAAATATTTGAGTCGAATACAAAAAACAGAACATGAAATTACGGGTGTACGGACTTAGGATGCCTGTCCGGACTTTGAGCACCTGGGTCTATTGGGATTGCAAAGCGGTTGCCTATTAAGCTGGTTGGAGCCATGGACTGTATGCATGGGCAGGGCCGCTGGAACTGGTCTGGCTGGACTGGCGATGGCTGGACCACTTTCTCAGCTGGATGGTCCATATGATCAAGAGTACATAACCCCCCCAGAGTGTGCAACGCCCATCCAGCTCTGTGTAGGGTCTTGGTCGAGCGGAATCGGATCTTCTGATGTCATGCGTACACTTCACACCAGCGCAAGGCCGGTCTCGAGGCAGGGCACCATTGTTTTTGATCCAAGAGTACCCGCGACTCCCCGGGTTCCCCTCAGATGTGTACGGTATTATGACGCAAAGATCCGATTCCGCTCAAACAAGACCCTATGCAGAGCTGGATCAGGCGTTGCACACTCTGGGGGGTTATGTACTCTTGATATGATTCATGCAAAGCCGGTGAAAAGTTTTCTCAGAGGTACATGACTGTACTGTCGACATGTCCTGTGCTTCAAAGTAGCTCAGGACTCCATGACAGGGATTGTTGTGCAGAACGCTGCACGACCTCCTGAGCTCACCATCTACCTAAGTAGCTTCAGTCACTCCTATCGAAAATGCATGCACTAGCCAACATTGGAAACGAGCAAAAATATCGCACAAGACAGAAGAGACTCGATCGAAAGAGACAAGATCGGGAAAGCCGAAAAAATCGTTCGTTCGATAAGCCGGGTGAGCCCACGCAGAGTGTGCGCACGCGTACACTCTGCATGCATATACATGACACTGGGCCACGCCATGCTAGCGACTGAGGCCCTGTGATCGTGAAGGAGTCAATAAAACACAGAGAAGTCGACACGTGACCATATTTCCTAGAGTCTTCATCGATCGGTTTTTTTTTTACCTATTCCGTACAGTGTTCAATCTCTTGGATGGTACCATCACTGGTACTCTGTGACTTATGGATATAAAAAAGTTGTGTTTGTGTTCTTTGACTATCATTTTCTGCATTTTTCCAGAGCCTCGCGAGATGCCCAAATTCCCTCTATTTCACGTAAATTCTCAAAATGTCTCCTGCGGACGTCCTCCGAACCCCTCGAAGGTCGGTCGAAACACTCACGAACTCTTTCCTCCGGCCCTGACGGGGTTGGTTGGTTGGTTGGTTGGATTTATTTAAAGTCGTACAACAAACAGGCATATGTGCCTCCTTATATGAAGACGACTTCTGGCAGTAAAACATTTTAAAGAAAAGAGAAAGGAAAAAAAAGAAAAAAAAAAGAAGAAGAAGAAGAAGAAGAGAAGATCAAGAATGCATCCTGAGCATACAGCTAGCCGGAGACTGAGCACAGCTAGCCTAAGCATGCATCAAAGCATCAGGATTACTACATACTACTAGTACTATTCTCAAGATAGTGGAGGGGGGTTGCTGTCATGCTACAGTAAGACAATACGCGTGCAACACACCCTTGAACTGGAGGGGGGACGTGATGTTTCTCGCATCAGGTGGAAGACTGTCACCATAGGGCCTGACGGGGGCACCGTAGGGCAGGTGGGTCTGCTCTAGAATCTTTCTGAAATTCTCATTTTGAAGCGATACAATTATATACCGTACGTTCGGGCCTGATTGGAATTTTTTATTTTCATTGCTATCAGGTTCGGCCTCATTTCCTCTGTGCTGCGCTGATGAGTTCACAAAGAACGAAACAGCATGCTGTCCGCAGATTGAGTACCGTGAAATATATATAATTATATATTTATCCACAGTCCACAGCCCAAGTCCACAGACTTGAGTATAATTATATGTATTTCACGGTTCGCGTGAGACTTGGCCGAAGGCCCAGTTTTCCGCATCCGCAGGAACGCCACCACCCTCTTGTATCAAGGCACATATGCAGCTCCTAAGCGGTGGGAGGTGAGTAGATCAGACCCACCACAAAGTGGTCAAAGACCGAAAATCCCATTCACTGCAAGCGAAGCGAAGCGAGTATGAAAACAGTTGAACCCTTTCAGGGCCACATTGTATTCACAGTGGCGGGGCACTGTGATGCTGTGCATCAGCACAATCGTGGAGATCGCAACAAACAAATTAGAGAATTGCCTGGAAAGTGACATTCGAGTTCATTGCTGTGATAACACCTCAATAGTGAGGTTCTGCTGTACGTGAAACGTAGAGAAATCACGTAGCGAACAGGCGTCCGGGTAAGAGTGTACGGCTTCGCGTGTTTTGGGTCCAGATTTCTACGCGTAGATGAGGTTCTCTACGTTGTGGCCCATGCAAAAGAAATGCGTACGTATCTGCTGGGTATCATTCAAATGCAGGCAGAAAAATGCCAGATATGGAAGGGGAATTCCCAGTACACATTCCACGTGACTTCTTTACGTGAACGTAGAGCAGAACGGGATTTCTTCACGTTACGGGAATGCGAAGAGAGTTCCTGGGGTTCTTCACGCCTCGTTCCAGTAACCAAGAGTACCTACCCCCCCGAGTGTGCGACACGACTATGGATGCTGTCCCGGCAGAATTTCAAGTTGACATCATTTCTATGATGCAAACTGCGCACTGTACACGGATTATCAGACGAATCCGGAACCTGTGGTGGACCAAAGCCCATCTGATCGTATACAAATTATTGCAAAGAAAAATGTGTGATGCGTTGACACCCGTACACATGTTGTAAATCACAGGTGCAAGGAGCATTGCATCATAAATAATGACATCAACTGGAAATCCTGTCCGGACAGCAGGGTATGTGGGAGTTGCACACTCTGGGGGGTTATGTACTCTTGATGTAACGTAGAGCAGATCATCACCACAACCCCCTCATGTGAACATACCGTACTATTTAGCAAAACGAGTTCAATAGTATTGCAGAGCGAATGGGAAAGACCGGGTCAGTGCTAAACTAACACAGCACAACCTGTGACTAACGACCACCCCTTGGGGCCAGAGAAAGCGGTCTTCAGTGGCAGGTGGTCCTTAGTTAGATGTTTGCACTGCACAACCACATACTATGGAATGTGACACCGTCCGTGCCTGGCGAAGTTGTCTGTAGTACCAGGCTGATCGCTAGTCACGGTGGTCTTTAGTTACAGGTTTTACTGTAAATCCTATGTTACTCAACTGCAGGAGGTCTTACCACTGCTACTTACAAATATAGAATTTGATGATTATTGCTTAGCAAGCCAGCAGGTAGCGATGTCAGGAGATTGTCATTCAAATCCCTGTGCAAGAGGAAGCAAGCAAGGGCATTCAAAATTTCGATGAGAGTTGAAAGTGTGACGAGTCTAAAGTGTGCATGTGTGGCCGCAGTGCTCCGCGAACATTGGCCATATCCTAAACTGGCTGGCTGTGAGAGATGACAAAATAAGTTAGTGACGAGAATATTGGGCGTTGGTGTACAGTGTGTTACATGTCCTAACAGATCCATGCTGTGCTGTATAGAAGTGATGTTCCAGCTTATTACTCACAGCGTTGTCAATCCAATCTGGCTATCAAAGAGCCCAGCCGGGATGGCGGTAAGCTGTGCATGTTGCATAGTTCTGCATTCACAACAAGCACATGAAAACACATGAAAACACATGAAAACACATGAAAACACATGAAAACACATGAAAACACATGAAAACACATGAAAACACAGGAAAACACAGGAAAACACAGGAAAACACAGGAAAAGGAAAACACAGGAAAACACAGGAAAACACAGGAAAACACAGGAAAACACAGGAAAACACAGGAAGACACAGGAAAACACAGGAAGACACAGGAAAACACAGGAAAACACAGGAAAACACAGGAAAACACAGGAAAACACAGGAAAACACAGGAAAACACAGGAAAACACAGGAAAACACAGGAAAACACAGGAAAACACAGGAAAACACAGGAAAACACAGGAAAACACAGGAAAACACAGGAAAACACAGGAAAACACAGGAAAACACAGGAAAACACAGGAAAACACAGGAAAACACAGGAAAACACAGGAAAACACAGGAAAACACAGGAAAACACAGGAAAACACAGGAAAACACAGGAAAACACAGGAAAACACAGGAAAACACAGGAAAACACAGGAAAACACAGGAAAACACAGGAAAACACAGGAAAACACAGGAAAACACATGAAAACACATGAAAACACATGAAAACACATGAAAACACATGAAAACACATGAAAACACATGAAAACACATGAAAACACATGAAAACACATGAAAACACATGAAAACACATGAAAACACATGAAAACACATGAAAACACATGAAAACACATGAAAACACATGAAAACACATGAAAACACATGAAAACACATGAAAACACATGAAAACACATGAAAACACATGAAAACACATGAAAACACATGAAAACACATGAAAACACATGAAAACACATGAAAACACATGAAAACACATGAAAACACATGAAAACACATGAAAACACATGAAAACACATGAAAACACATGAAAACACATGAAAACACATGAAAACACATGAAAACACATGAAAACACATGAAAACACATGAAAACACATGAAAACACATGAAAACACATGAAAACACATGAAAACACATGAAAACACATGAAAACACATGAAAACACATGAAAACACATGAAAACACATGAAAACACATGAAAACACATGAAAACACATGAAAACACATGAAAACACATGAAAACACATGAAAACACATGAAAACACATGAAAACACATGAAAACACATGAAAACACATGAAAACACATGAAAACACATGAAAACACATGAAAACACATGAAAACACATGAAAACACATGAAAACACATGAAAACACATGAAAACACATGAAAACACATGAAAACACATGAAAACACATGAAAACACATGAAAACACATGAAAACACATGAAAACACAGGAAAACACATGAAAACACATGAAAACACATGAAAACACATGAAAACACATGAAAACACATGAAAACACATGAAAACACATGAAAACACATGAAAACACATGAAAACACATGAAAACACATGAAAACACATGAAAACACATGAAAACACAGGAAAACACATGAAAACACATGAAAACACATGAAAACACATGAAAACACATGACAACACAGGAAAACACATGAAAACACAGGAAAACACAAACTACTGTCAGGCTACATGCACAGACTGTCCACGACCTGAAAAAAGGTTCAGTTGTGGACATTGAAATGCATTCAGCCTCAGATCGAAGACCATCTATCACCGCAACAAAGTGCATTTGAAGGGCTCCAATTCAAAACGCGATAGAACTTAAAAGTCATTGATGCTGCAGTGCAGACCGAAAAAGAACAAATGAAAAATGCACTTCCTGAAATTTCCACAGAGTGGATTTATCTCGTTTTGAATTGGAGCCCTTCATATAGAAAGCAGCGAAGAATAAGGAAGGGGACACAACTGTTGATCTGGTAATCACACTCCTAAAACCACTGCCACCTAGCCGCTTATTTACATAATATTTAAAAAAATTCCCGTTGTCAGAACAAACAAAGCAGGCTCAAACACTACCTTAATCCAGCATTCGATGCATTGCCGATTTCGAAGATCAGATATGGCATGCCGGATTGCGCATCCTACATTGGCACTTTTGTGTGCAGCAGTGCATGTGGCAGATCAACACCGTATTTCATCGTATGCGTTGAAATTTGACAGGACACAACGGTACTTCACGGTAACTATAATAGAGACACGAGTCTATGAACAAGGGTATGCAACTGCTCTATATCCTTGCTGATGATCAAAGGTGCAGCACACTGCCTTCACTACATCATGCTGCGGGGTGCTTTCCGTCTGATTCATGCGGAACTAAAGTTCATGCACTTGAAAAGTAGAGCTCCCTTGTGTTCACGGACAAGTTATTAAAAAAATCTGTATCTGTATGTATCTGTAGGTCCGAGAGATCGCAAGAGAGATCGCAAGAGATCATGAGAGATTGCGACTTTTCGTGCAAGAATGCAGAGCGTGGTGCAGACAAGTTACGAAATACAGGTAGCACATTCTTGGTTATGGAGCTCTGGGTAACAGCACAGAGCAGATATGCCCTTCCAGCGTTCTTTTTTTTCTTCTCCAAAATGCCCGCTGGCTGGCTGTAGGTAGCAATGGCCCAAACTTTCTACTGTTCAATGGAAACGCTTCATTCCACGTAGAGTAGCGATGTCATAGAGCACTGTGTTAAATTAGTACCACCCCGCATCATTCTATCTTTTATTTATATTTTTCTCCTCAGCTTCTTCTTCATAAGCTGTTAACGGAGACTCCCTTGATTTAGGCTAAGGCCTGTGGAGAATCCATAAATACAAATACAAACAGAGTAGTAGAGCCCCATGATTTGGTTATGGCTCGATGTAAGCATACCTGCTGCTTGCCCTTGATAGAGAATAGACTTACATTTGGCCGACTAACGTGTAGTTTCGAAACGTGTCCTTGTGCAAAGAACTGCTGAGGTTGTTGTAGACGCTTCCCCTAGTAATGTATCTGCACACATGCGAACACGAAAATTGCAGGGAGGGTATAGTTATGGTCATTTGAATCAAAGAGAAGGTTAGCTGCGTATGTGTGTATGTTTGCGCACGTGTGTGTGTGTGTGTGTGTGTGTGTGTGTGTGTGTGTGTTTTCTGAGGAACTAGCCAGTCATTTCGGTATGCTGTTGTAGCGACCTGACTCACTGAGTATTACGTCACTATCACATAAGCATGCGCAAGAAAAGAAAATATTCTCTTTGGTGTCAACTTCTTTGTTGTCCGGTTGGCCAAAGTAGCCGTCGTCTAGGGCCCGACGTAAAATCCTATATTGGTGACCCACGACGCTGTGCTCTTCGAAGTTTTTCATCATGGCATCTCTGAGCTCTGGCCGCAGTTTGCAGTTTCCTGCTCGCCCCGCTCTCGGAATCCCGTCAATCGCCGGCTGTTGACGTAAAACTTGAGCCTCACCACCACTGGATCCGCCTCGCGCTCGGAGCTGCTGTGGCCCCTGCCACCCTCCCGCCTGGATACCCCACTATCCTGCAACGGCACATCGTCCAGTCGTCTTCGTCCAGTTGTCTTCGTCCTGGCCTCAAGCTGGAAATTGGCCACCTCCACCATCCGTACCACCTCAACTGTGCACGCACGCAGGCACACGCCCGGCACAGGACCTCCATCCGTCCTTCCCTCACTCGGCACGCCTCGCCCCCGTGCAGCGCTCCTGCTGGTACCCCGAAAGTCTGCAACATGCAGCCGCCTCTGACATGATAACACTCCTCTGTCACGCGTACATTCCTCTTTCCTCTATTTCCGCCTCTGACACGATAATACTCCTCTGTCACGTGTACATTTCCTCTTTTCTTTCTTTCTGCCTCTGACATGCTCTCCACCTCTATCAAGTTAACACACCTCTGACACGTTAACCCGCCTCTGTCATGCATCTCCCTTTTTTCCGCTTTCTGCATTTTGACTTTTGTTTCGGCTTTTGTTGCCACGTCACAAACAAATTTCATACACGCAGCGCTCTCACTTGTACATATTGTATCATATGTTTTCTCTTTCCGCCTTGTACATGCTGCGCTTCCTTTCTCTTCTCTCTCCTTTTCTTCTTTATCGTGAGTTGCTCCTCCCGACCTCACCACTGGCGGGGTGTACTGTAGCGACCTCACCACTGGCGGGGGAGTACTGTAGCGACCTCACCACTGGCGGGGGAGTACTGTAGCGACCTGACCACTGGCGGGGGAGTACTGTAGCGACCTGACCACTGGCGGGGGAGTACTGTAGCGACCTGACCACTGGCGGGGGAGTACTGTAGCGACCTGACCACTGGCGGGGGAGTACTGTAGCGACCTGACCACTGGCGGGGGAGTACTGTAGCGACCTCACCACTGGCGGGGGAGTACTGTAGCGACCTGACCACTGGCGGGGGAGTACTGTAGCGACCTCACCACTGGCGGGGGAGTACTGTAGCGACCTGACCACTGGCGGGGGAGTACTGTAGCGACCTGACCACTGGCGGGGGAGTACTGTAGCGACCTGACCACTTGCGGGGGAGTACTGTAGCGACCTGACCACTGGCGGGGGAGTACTGTAGCGACCTGACCACTGGCGGGGGAGTACTGTAGCGACCTGACCACTGGCGGGGGAGTACTGTAGCGACCTCACCACTGGCGGGGGAGTACTGTAGCGACCTGACCACTGGCGGGGGAGTACTGTAGCGACCTGACCACTGGCGGGGGAGTACTGTAGCGACCTGACCACTGGCGGGGGAGTACTGTAGCGACCTGACCACTGGCGGGGGAGTACTGTAGCGACCTGACCACTTGCGGGGGAGTACTGTGGCGACCTGACCACTGGCGGGGGAGTACTGTAGCGACCTGACCACTGGAGGGGGAGTACTGTAGCGACCTGACCACTGGCGGTGGAGTACTGTAGCGACCTGACCACTGGCGGGGGAGTACTGTAGCGACCTGACCACTGGCGGGGGAGTACTGTAGCGACCTGACCACTGGCGGGGGAGTACTGTAGCGACCTGACCACTGGCGGGGGAGTACTGTAGCGACCTCACCACTGGCGGGGGAGTACTGTAGCGACCTGACCACTGGCGGGGGAGTACTGTAGCGACCTCACCACTGGCGGGGGAGTACTGTAGCGACCTGACCACTGGCGGAGAGTACTGTAGCGACCTGACTCACTGAGTATTATTGCATCACTATCACATAAGCATGCGCAAGAAAAGAAAACATTCTCTTTGGCCTCAACTTCTTTGTTGTCCGATTGGCCAAAGTAGCCGTCGTTTAGGTCCCGACGTAAAACCCTGAACCGTCATCAATGGCGGAGATCGTACGCTGTCACCGTTTACGCTGGCTTGGCCACCTTGGGCGAATGGAGGATTCCCGTCTCCCCAAGCGCATTCTGTTTGCTGAGGGACTCAACACAAGGCCTAGACATAGTTCTAAGAAACGTTGGAGGGACATCGCCGCTGCTGATCTGAGTGCTCGGTGCGTGACAGGTGGCTGGTGCGACTTGACGCAGGACAGACGAGACTGGCGCCTCATGTGCAATCTTCCCCGGCCGGCTGTGCCAACGCCTAGAGTGTTCATATGCGGCTGTGGCAGGGACTTCCAGCGGCCCAACGATCTAACTCGCCACAGGAAATACTGCAACTCCTGATGCTATCATTGCACGGAGCAGTGGGCATCCAAAGGTCCAAAGGTGTGTGTGTGTGTGTGTGTGTGTGTGTGTGTGTGTGTGTGTGTGTGTGTGTGTGTGTGTGTGTGTGTGTGTGTGTGTGTGTGTGTGTGCACGCATGCATGTGTGTACAGTCAACTTCGCTAATAACGACCGTGGAAATAACGACAATTCGCGAATACCGACAGAATTTCCATGACCAGAGCAAAGTCCCATCTAACTGTAATACCGTATTTCCTTGAACACCCGCCGCCCCTTGATTATCAGCCACCCTTGAATAAACGCCGCCAGTTTCTTTGGACTGGGGGTTATTTGTACACAAGTGCAGAGCAGTTCACAATAATTTATGTGCAATTTCACAGCTACGAGATGACCTTCATCTACGACGTCATGTTCCTTCACATGCAGCTAGTGCTGCTCTCGTTTCGGACAAAGGCGATCTAAAGAAGGGAACAAATCGAAGACCTCTCACAACATAATGAAGAGCAAGAGGAGTTATTTTATCGATCACGAAAAAAGACAATAGTACGCAAACAAAGTAAATGGATGAAACGTAAAACGCACTATTATAATAATAGGATTGTCAAATCCACAAAACCAAGAACTCAGATCGGAGAACTGGTCTAGGAGAAAGTGGACGGACGCTGTGAAAGGAACGAACGCAGAAAGAGAAATCAAACGGCAGAGAACAAAACTTGCGGCATCCTTTTATAATATTTGTATCCAAAAATTTCAGCGTTGACGTCTTCTTGAAGCTCCTCCACTTCATCCCCGTCGCCATGACAGACTGCTGCTGCTGAACATGCAGCCAACTTGCTAGTCGAGCCTCAAGCTCCTTCGCCATGATATTCTTTCCAGTGCAAAAGGAAAAGAAAAGAAGATGCACTAGCCTGCAGTGTACCTAACCAACAAAGGTTCAACAGTGCGCATCGTATGTGAACTCTACGCATACATTGTGACGTAAAACATGTTTTCAAGGCCTCACCCACTTTGCTAGTTTTGAATACAGGCCGCGGCCGGCGGCAGCTGTTCAAGTAGGTTGTACGTATAAGAAGAGTTCAGGTATAATTACACTTCGCGAATAAGGACACTTTTCTGATGCCCCACCGAGTGTCGTTATATGCAAAGTTGACTGAATACCATATGTCAGCGCCATGACTTTATATTCAAAACACCACTGCTTTCCTAGCTATTTTCGATGCAAAATGACTCACCCACTACGCCATGCCATAAAGTCAAAGTCCACACAGAAATTTCTAATCTACCTGTTCACTCTTCCTGCTGGGCTGTAAGTTTGTTAGCATTTTACTATCTTACTCCTTCATTCTTACACAACATACTTCAAATGTCATCTCATTTATGAAGTCCATGGCTTTATAACTGAGGCTGGTTTTGTAATCGAATACACCGCAATTACTTTAAAGGTGCGGACATACAGTATATCTATAATATTATGGTGCCTCCTTTGCACCATGGCTGGTAGCTCGGCTTGCTTAAAGCTCGTAGCTGTACTGACGAGGTGTTGTGTAACGCACGCACAACAATATTATTCATCACTACTACTACTCCGCACATGCACACAGCACTCACAACGGCGGACTCTGACAGTAGTGTAAATAAAAGGACTGATACTTGGAAATGAATTAGTTAGGTAAGGATATAGAAAACAACAACTCAATCTTGGGAGAGCTAATCAACAAGGAGAAATAAAATCGGAACTCCACGGAACCGGCGGGGGCGGGGCAAGGCGACGTGGAGAAGCTCGGCTGACGTGTGCGAGTACGCACGCGGCGCGGTCAATGGGGCTTCGGCCAGCAAGCGTGGGGACGCTAACCTTTGCAGCAAGCGCAGCATGCAAATAAGGCAGAAGGCAAAAGCAATGCGCATGCTCGCAATAATGACGCGTAGCTGATAGGGCATGACATCAACACAACTCGTGAAAATGCCTATGCAAAAATGTGTTCGAAAAGTAACCGTGAGCTACGATGCAGGAAACGATCTCTGCGATCTGGCAGACGATGTAACAATTTGAAACCAGACAAATTGACGGTCAGTGTGAGTCAGAGAGGAAAGGAAACGATAATAGCAAGAGAAGAAAGGAACAGAGCAGGCGCGGAGAATGCAGAGTATGGATAACAGAACAGAACGGTAAGCAAAGTCTCAAAACGAAGAACACGACGTACAAATCCAAAATCTATAACTTGAAGCAATAAATAAACGTGCAGTATGGTATCAAATACTTGTGGAGAGAGAGGCGAACTATTCTACTTCAGAGGCCTTTATAGGCGAAACAGCTTGCTGTCTACAGCATTGGGGTATTTTACTACTCGACATTCGTCATGTTGAGCACTCTCGGTAGGCTGCTCTAGTGCTGCTGCATTATGCATTGCCCGCTACTGAAGTAGCGCATCTGGCAAAGCTACGGGAATAAATGTTCACTAGAATCCATGTTATGATTACGAAAATATGAGAGTTCATTCTTGTAGGCAGTATATTCTTTTACACGGCCACACTATAAGCGATGCGCACTGTATTTTGATCTTCAAATTTCTTTTATCTTCATACATTTTGCTCAAACCTATTGCATTTATCAAAAACATTTAAATGGACTATGCAGTCAACTTTGCTAGTAACGACTGCGGAAAAAAAGGAGGGCGCAGCTCAGACCCCGGTGAGGCTAACCTCCCGGAAAATATAGCACTTACATTTGTACATAACAGATTCAGCGGAAGACGTTCAGGTTGAGTGCTCATGCCGCTAGGCAATCATCAGACAATTGATACTACTGTCGTGGACATGGAATTCCGGTCGCACGTCTAGCCGCCCCAGGGCGCTGGCCATGCAGCCGTGGATAAACGGTACACACATGCATTTATGCGCTGCAGCGCTCTGGTCGCATCGGATCAACAACCATTATGTGCACTGCACGCAGTGTTCTGTACGAGCTGAGGGCGCCGTCCCCGGTCAGTCGACTGGATTTCCATGTCCACAACAGTAGGATCAAGCCAGCAGTGTGCTTATAACACATAGAGCCGCAGGCATAAACAAATTCAGCACTAAGTCTGGTGGCGTAAG